TTTTTTTTTTTTGTATTTGATTTTATTTTGAATGTATTTAACAACCCACCTCTCAATTTGGCATTGTAAATTTTTTTTAAAATTTTTTTAATTGTTTAAATGTATAACATTTGCATACATGAGGACAAAAAATTACATGCAAATTAGATTTTAAATTACTAGTATAATGCAAAAAGATTATTCAAAAATAAAGAAAGTATCCGCACTCATAATCCCATGTATGTGCGATACATTTTCTGAATAAAAAAGAATTGAAAAAAAAAAAAACCTAAACTCACCAGTACCTGATCTTAATGCTCCAGCTTAGTATATTTCATCATCAGGAATATCTGGTGTCAAGAACTTTCTTGGATCTTTACTCATTTCCTCATAATTTAGTGTCGGTTTCACCCTTTCCGGTACAGGAGCCAATGGAATGATGCTATCTCTATCAATAACTCCATCTATTATCCCATATTCAACTGCTTCTATTGGAGACATATAACGATCTCTATCAATATCTTTTTGGACTTGTTCAAATGTCCGGCCGGTAAAGCTAGAAATAATTCTCGTGACATTATTCTTGTTATGCATAATTTCTCGTGCTTGAATTTCTACATCAATGGCTTGCCCACTAGCACCTCCAAGAGGCTGATGAATCATTATCCTTGTGTTGGGCATTGCAAGACGCTTACCTTTGGTTCCACCTCCCAGGATTACAGATGCTGTTGATGCTGCAATGCCGAGTGCAATGGTGGAGACATCAGCTCTCACAAGCTGCACTACATCATATATAGCCATCGTGGCACTGATGCATAAGACAAACAAAATAGCATAAGACAAGCAAAACACTTTTACATTTTGAGTTTTCATAAGGTAAAACTTCCTTAATCCAAATGTTTCAATTCAATGCATGCATGTAATGTCAAGGGCCAGATGCTCTGTCCAGTTTCTAGAGCTCAAACTCTAAGGTTCCAACCTATCAAGTGGTTGTCAGTCCAGGTTGGTAAATTCATCTCAAGCTTTCTCATCACTTTAAATTGTCGAACCACATTTGAGTCACTGACAGGCATTTGTATACCAGTCTTCAAGAAGTCACCCATTCTAGCACTATTCTCATCCATCATTATCACCAAACTTTATAATATGATATTACATTTTCTTGTGAGAAGAGAAAAGAATTTGTAGAAGGGCACCAAGTGAACGCTACAAATGTAAACATCAAATACAGCTAATAAATAAAGACAACCATGTAGCTTTTTTCTTTTCATGGCTGCTGAAACATAACTAGGCAACTCTACCCACTTCTCAACAAGACAAATAATCATTCCTAAGGTTGGAACTTTTTTATGTAGAAGAAAATATGTTCTATATTTATAGAGCACCAAGGGATGCAATCCATATACAAAATTCTTTACTAGTCTAACAACATATCACTAAGGTCCCTAAAATCCTTGCTATAATGCGAAGGTTAGCACATAATAAAAAAACTTAAGGTTTGGTACCAAATATCTTTAAATATGCGAAATCAGATTCAACACCCTCAAAATCCTTCTATTCCTTTCCTTCCAAGTGACCCAAACGGGAGCAAGCGGGACCAGCTTGACGGTCTTCTTACCACTCTGATATCTTCTCCATGGCCACAACTCTTCCCCAATACTATCGGAACAACCTAATTTACACACAATAAACTATACACCACAGACCAAGGTGATAGGTATAGGGCTTGTACCCCGGCAATGGATGCTAGTTATTCCTTGCCATCCCTTCCCTCTGTTTTTTTGTGCTCTTTTTCTTTCACTCCTTCAAACCCAAAAGCCAAGTTTTCTCTTGACTCCATTTTCAAAACTTAATTAGAATTTCTGGCTATGGATCAGGAAGCACACTGGACCAGGTATTTGCCAAAATGTATGTCAGGGTGAATCATGGCCCCACATGGAACAGAGAAGGAGTTTTAAGCTCCATTTCAAACCCTGCTAAGTTGGGAGAAAACAAAGGATAAGGTCCTGGGAAACAGGGACCTCTTTAGGGATTTTGATTAGGAATTTTATCTCTTTGTTTTTTTTTCTTTCTAGGAGTTGGAGTAGGAAGTTTGGATTGAATAAGTAGGATGTAGGAGCCCTGGTTGTTTAATAGGTTTCTAACACTTGAATAGCTTCCTATAAATATTATCAAAATTAATCACTAGAGATCATCAAATTTCTCTTTAAAAACAGAGCTAGTCTCTAAAAGACTCAAGATTCTCTTTGATGAGGGCTCAATATTGGCCAGCAAAGAAGGAAGTTGGCGAAGCAAGTTACCAGCTTGCTTTGAGACTTTTTAGCTTAGCAGGACCCTTTCATTATCAGGTGCAGAACTGTAATGACATGGTATAGAGGCAGAGAAAACAGGGGAAGTCAAGGCATTCTAGCAGTTACTTGAGAGCTTTTCCCTGCAGTATCAGGAAGACAGGACTTGTTGAATGAACAGCAATTCAATCTCACTATTCAGATTGAGAACTTGTTGGAAGTACAACCAAAAATGACTCCTACATGCTTCCAACTCCAATAGCATGTGAAGGAAGGATAGACACCCAGTAAGGGCTGGAGACAGCGCCTGAGGTCGAAGAAGAGTATCCTGATTTGCAAAGCTGGATTTTTCGGAGTAGATGGCACTGCAATCCACGGGGCTGTTAAAAAGGTGTGAGCACCTCTTCCTCCACCAAGGAATGGCTAAAGAGGACACGATCGGGCTGACCTCATTCCACTTGGAGGATGACACCCAATTGCGA